ATATGAGTGAGATCATGGGGTACTTGTCTTTCTCTGACTGGCTTATTTCACTCAGCATAATACTCTCCAGTTCCCTCCATGCTGTCCCCAAGGGTAAGAGATCCTTCTTTTTTACAGCTGCATAGTATTCCATGGTGTAAATGTCCCACAGCTTTTTTGTCCACTCATCTAGTGATGAAGCCCATTCTTTTTGTCTGCACCTTTGGGTTCATGTCCTTAACACAGATAGTCCTGCCACTAAGAAATAATTGAAAAGCAAGATTTTATTTTTATGAAATCTCTCAAAAATACCAAAGGTGATTATATTTCAAATACAAAGCAAAACTTCTTGATAGATCTGTCAGTATAACATAGGTGATAGGCACTGCCCCTAAAATCTCTCTCCTCTTACTATCTGAACTCCAAAAGGACTTCTCCCAAACCTAGCCTTTGCTGGCCCTGCCTTCTCCTGTTTACCCCTCTGCCCAGAGCTTCAAGTCCCCTCTGCCCAGAACTCGCTATACTTTCTGATGTAAATTAAGCTTGTCCTGGAGTTTCCTAAGTTCTCTCTGCTGTCCCTGTTACCTTCATCTCTTCAAAAGCCATAAAGAAGATTGTCTAAAGAAGGAGGGACTGTGAACACTGTTTGTTAATATTTCCTGGCCCTGTTATAAATATGCCATTCTAATTTATCTCAACTTTTTCAAATGCACCAGAATGCCTCTCTCCCCTAAAATTAGGAATGGAATATATGTATTCCACTTGCTAACATTACTTCGCCTCTGGGTGAAAACAGGATTCTCTAGCTTATTCTGTCCTCAAGGAGGCTGAAAGACAAGATGGGGTTTATTTGGAACATGGCTTCTAATACCACAGCTTACCAGTGGGTTTATGGGAAGCTACCTTAGAAACAGTATACAAAATTCAAGGTGGATGTTTGGGCTTTTCTTTCCCATGCTTATGAAACAACCCCAAACAACAGTAGTCGAAGGGTAGTTTGGTGGATCTACCATGTTATCCGGGACTCAGGCTTCCTTGTCTTTCTGCTCCACCTTTGGTTAGCATGGAGTTTCCATTCTGAGGGTTGCTTGTGCCCGCCACACCTCCAGCCCTCAGAGCCATACTCCAGATAGAAAGATGGAACAGGAGAAAAGTAGCATGGCCTCTGAAATAAGTCAGATTCCCTGTTTTCAAAAAAAAAACACCAAAACACTATTTTTTAATTTATCGAGCAAATACCATTATATAAATTTTAGGTGTACAACAGAATTTGATATCTGTATGCTTTACTGTGTGCTTACCACCAAAAGTCTGGTTTCCTCCCATTACCATGTATTTGACCCCCTTTACCCAATTTGCTCACCCCCACAACCCTCTTTCCCTCTGGTGACCACAATTCTGTTGTCTATGTGTTTGTTTTTGTTTTGTTAGTACGTATGTTACTTTTTTGTTTTATAGTCTCCATATGAGTGAAATCATGTTTTTTGTTCTTTTTGCATAGGACTTATTTCACTTAGTTCCATCCATGTTATCACAAATGGCAATATTTCATCTTTGTTTATGGCCGAGTAGTAACCCATTGCACATATATATTTAAGGGAAAGCAAAAGTAGCTCTACAGTTGTGAGTACACAAAACACAGAGTTTATTGAATTATTTATTATTGGATTATTTTCCATATGAACAACTGCAAACCTACTTTTGCCCCACCCTGTATATAGACCACATTTACTTTATTCATTTGTCCTCTGATGGACACCTAGGTTGCTTCTGTATCTTGGCTATTGTAAATAAAGCTGCAGTGAACATGAACCAGATTCCCTTTTAAAAGTAAGTTTCTTAGACTCTCACCTAATAACTTCTACCTTTAACCTGAATTTATTCATATGGAACCCCCCCCACCGCCATCGACAAGAAAGTTTGGGAAATGTGGTTTTACAGCTGGGAACATTGCTACAAAATCAAGGCTCTGTTTCTAAGGAAGACAGGAAAGTTGGAAATTTGGTAGACACCTAGCCATCTCTTCCACAATGCCTATGGGCATTTTCCTAAGGGATGGTCCTCAGCATCCACCTGCTGACCCCCAAGTGGGTAAGAGTCACTGCTCTAGAGCATCACACTTCCATGTCTTCTGAGAACAAAGTAAGCAACAAGCACAACGCCAACTCTTTCATCATGTGTATCTTAACCTCAGGACAATAATAATCACTTTGCCCAGATGTTAAGATGAGAAATGATGTATGAAAAGCACCTGGAACAATTGCTACCGCATAATAGGAGCTTCTATGTATTAATTGCAAATAATATGTTGTGATCTGTATGGATATTCTTTCTCTCTGGTTGTTTAAAAATACTGCTCTCCTCATAAACCTTTTCAGGGCATATTATTAAAATAGAGGGTACCCAGGTGGAATGATTTTTAAAACTTCTAAATTTTTTTCCATAGCATTTTCATAGTGTAAAGCCCCCTCTCATGAAACCCTCGGATACCAAGGTGATGTTGCTTAAAACTTCATTAGCAGTCTGTGAACTTAGAGTTACTATACAGGTATCTCCTCCCTGACTGATCCCTTTTCATCAAACGCTTGCTGCCCTACCCAGTTGCAGGGCCCCAAGCTAAGCCTGGAGATATAAGACACTGGTCCTGCCTTCAAGGGGTATATCATCGACTTGGAGGCATATTTTAAAACAATTAGCAACACCTTCAGTCTCTCGGGTTGGGTACCGTGCTAGCTGTCCTCAAGAAGTAGGGGATATCCTAGGGTTACTATGGCAACTGTGCCCTCCCCATACACTGCCATCCTGTGCTCTGTTCCTCAGTATCTCTGATGTTCTGGAGGGAGAGCACTTTAAAAGAGTATCTTCCTCCAAGTTAGATCTTTGCTTCAGTCCCTCATTCGTTCATTCATTCATTCATTCAGTAGATACTGATTGAATATCTACTTCGCATCATCTACTAGACTTGGAGAATATAACAGTGAACAAAACAGGCAAAAATGATTTCCCTCGTGGAGCGTATCGTCCAACACGCACTTTTTAAAAATATATATATATATTTCTGACATCTCACTTTGGCCTCTCAAGATGTCTTGCCATGATGACTTTAATCTCCCCAAGCCAGGAAGATTTCAGTGTATTGATTAATCGCTACCTGATGTGTGGAGCCTCTGTATCCAGCAGCCCATCCTTGGGTGGTCCCACATCCAATCACTTATTGACAGGTGTCAGTGTCGCTGGCAGGCCCTTGGAGGCTCCATGGATTTCCCAGAACAAGGGCTAAATGCTAAATGAAAACTTAAAAGAGCAAATGCTGCTGGAGAGAGGAGGCTGGAATATCGGGGAATGGGTAATGAAGGATGTTGGCCTGAGCCTTAAAGGAAAGACGGGGCTCAGTGAGTCAAGATGGGCATCAGATAAGAGGGAAATTGCATGAGCAAAGGTAGCTCATGGGTAACAATGCAATAGTAACTGTACCTCCTGGAGCAGAAGGCTTTCCATATGGAAATGATCACGGGAGCACTGATTACATTGAATTTCAGATGTTTAAAGAGATAGGAATTTACCCTTCGGACACAGGAGCCACTTTGTGGCAGCTTCTTGAACAGGGATGATGCAGATGAAGAACTGGACGTAGTTTCCAAGGCCATGGGTTTAGCCTGGATCAGTTATTGCAAAGTTCTGAAAAAAGAGGAGATAGCTTACTGCTATGAATTAACCTAATTCTCATCTTTTCCTTAGGTGGCTCATCAACAGTGAGTTTAAACTCTAACCAGACTTTGACAAACCCAGTTTCAACACACACCATTTTAACCCAGAACTCCAGCCTCATGTCTACGTCCCACGCAACGAGAATGCCGTCCTTGTCCACGGCCGTGCAGAGCATGGGGATGTATGGAAGTCTGCCTTGCAGCCAGCCCGGCACCTACAGCGTCCCTTCAGGAATGAATCAGCTGACCCAGCAGAGAAACCCAAACCAACTGATAGCAAATCAGAACAACCCCCTCATGCCACGGCCTCCTGCCTTAGGGCCAAGTAGTAATAATAACGTGGCCACTTTTGCAGCTGGACCTGTTGGCAATTCACAACAACTGAGACCAAATTTAACCCATACTATGGCAAGCATGCCAGCACAGAGAACGTCGAACGTAATGATCACATCCAACACAACAGCACAAAACTGGGCCTCCCAAGAAGCGACAGCCAAACAGCAGGAAGCCCTGAAGTCCGCGGGAGTCCGCTTCCCCGCAGGGACACCTGCACCGTATACTCCAAACCAGTCATTGCAACAGGCGGTGGGTGGCCAGCAGTTTTCCCAGAGGGCAGTGGCTCCTCCTAATCAGATAACACCAGCAGTGCAAATGAGACCTATGAACCAAATGGGCCAGACTCTGAATGGACAAACCATGGGGCCACTCAGAAGTCTGAATCTCAGACCCAATCAGCTGAGCACACAGGTTTTGCCTAATTTGAACCAGTCAGGAACAGGGTTGAGTCAGCCAAGGACAGGCATAAGCCAGCCACCCTCTCTGACACCTGGCAATTTTCCGTCACCCAACCAAAGTTCCAGGGCTTTTCAAGGAACTGACCATGGCAGTGACTTAGCTTTTGACTTTCTCAACCAACAGACGGATAATATGGGCCCTGCCCTAAACAGTGATGCTGATTTCATTGATTCGTTGTTGAAGACAGAGCCTGGTAATGATGACTGGATGAAAGACATCAATCTTGATGAAATCTTGGGGAACAACAACTAAAGGGGAGAGGGGAGATGATTCACCAACCCCAAGCACTAAAAGGCAGTATTTTACAAGGACTCTGGAAAAGCCAACTGTTGACTTTTAGTTGACCTACATAAAGATACCGTGGCTTAAAAATGGAAAGCAGAAAGTAACCGTGGTGGTGAATGTTTTGGTCCAAATGCTTGTTTTAAATCTCAAACCTGACAGTAAAACATTGGGATCACTTTTCCCTGTCTAAACTCCAGGACACAGTATCCAATTTATCCAAACAGAACTGCGATGTTGATGTGTAATTAGCTGTGTAAAATAGCCTTCCCAAGCTCCTTTTCTCCCCGAAAGAAAATACAACTTTTAGCTTGTTTAAACCCCATGTCATGCGGAAGTATTAGTTCCAGGCAACGAGCAACAAGCTCCTTAATTTGTTCTAATAGATTTAAGTGTGGTTTAATCTTTCCACTTTATCTTTTCATTTTAGTTTTCCTAAAACTTTCTAGATTGAAGTGTTCCAGGTTTCTCTGGAGTAACCAAACACTGTCCTGAGTGAAGAAAAGCCGGAGAACCTAGAGAACATGCAGTGAATGGAGGAATATCTTCCCCAGGTTCACCCCTCACTCTCAGTTTTCCCACATATCCTGTACTTCAGTAAGATGCTGTGTCTAGTGATGAGACGCTGAAATGTGAACACAGAGCTGTCCAACCCTATTGGGCTTCCACAGCCAGTTTCTGAATCCATGTTCAGGACCTGTCGCGCGTGTCTACTTCAGATTTCACTATTTACAAAAGAAAGCACCCCGTTGGGCGTTGCTATAAAGGAGATTTATTTGGCCACAAATAACCTGGGGTGTTGCTTATTGTGATGGTCCCTGCTGGTTAGTTCCCAAACTGAGTGAAATTGAGTCTGGTCCTCCTGGATTATTTTAAGACCAGACACTGATTTGTAAGAAAAGGAAGTTTTGAGGTCAAAACTGAGATTAGGAGGTATCATGTTTGGGTTAGAGATAAGAAACAGAAGATCGGACCAGGGATGGCGAGTACGTGTGGGTACACGTCTGTGTCCTGGGGCTCGAAGGGAAGCATAATTGAAGAGGGAAAATAAGCTGTCCTTACATGGACATACTTTGCGGGGAAACAGCTAAGTGAATGGAATGTGATCTGTTGGTAACAGTCTATTTGTTCTTCTGTCCCTGAAGTGGTGAATCACTCCCACCTGCTAGATGGACCCTTGTATCCAGGTTTTCTCCCTCAGGGCTCAGGGCTGTGTCGGAGAAAGAGTTTTTGTTGAGTCACTTAACCACCGAGCCCACATGCAGAGCAGCTGTGAAAGGGGAAGATGTGTGCCATCTGAGAGGGCCACAAAATATCACTATCATTTTCCTCATTACAGAGGAGCACAGGCTAGCTTCAGCTGTTTTAGTTATATAGTCACCTATTCAATGAGCAAATGTAATTTAACTGAAGTCGTTTAATAACTAAACCTTTAAATATCTGTTCTTAAAAAGAATACATGAAAGTTCTGCAAAACCCTCTCCCAATCTGTCAAACGTCTAGAAGCACTCTCTTTTACGCAACACCACCATCACTGGCCCAGAGTCTTTTCTGTGCTAGGTTGTAAATATAAATGAATTACTTGTTTTGTAAACTTTTGTAAAGAATATTTTGGTAGAAATACTTAAAACATATTCTTTGGGTTATATTTATACTTATGTGAAATAAATATACTATCAAAAGGTTATATTTTATACAAAAAGTAAATTGTTACCTTTTGTATGCTAATATACAAAGTTTTGTATAATATGATGGTTTATTTTTAGCTCTACACTTAATCCCTAGGTGGTCAAGTGGGAACTTTTAAAAACTATCAAGAGGCTTGTTAGACAAATCTATATTCTGAAACCTCAATAAGAAAGCATTCCAGGTTTCAATCCTTTTTTTTTTTTTTTTTTTGCTCCGAAACTCTTTTTTAAACCCATAGGTCTGTGTCTTATTTTATTATTCTGCTGTGCACATTGTATCGGTCCTTGTTGCATGTGGTCTACTGTGTGTTTTCCCTTTTTATAGAACAGTGTTTCTCCATGCAGAGATGCAAGGAAAAGTTATGTACATAGAAACGCTTTTATTTTACGGCTCCTCCATGTTCCTGTATATATCTGCCAGCACTTCCCAGTTACACTCCCTTGATTCAGCTTATTTTTGCCCTAACATAAATAGTATGTTTTGTAGTAGCCATCAAATTTAAGAGATAAAGCGATCAGAATGTTTGGATCTTCTTCTATCTTAATGTGAATTTTATAATTAATGTCTATTTATTCAGCTATTCATTAAAATACAGGATTCTTTGGAAAACATGATGTAGTCTATAGTTTCTGTTTGTTGGCAGCCTAGTACCAAAGATGACGTAATTTTCCTGAAAGCTGAGATAATGACAATTTGATAGACATATGTACCCAAAACTTTACAATTTACAGCCTAAAAGCTATTGGAATACAATCTCTCATTTATAGAAATATCGGACTACGTAATTATTGGCATTGTTTCTCATCCTGACAATATTATAAAGGAGGTAGAAGCAATTTTTCTTTTTTAATTCAAAGGCTAGGAGGCAATTTAAGCAAATAATTCATCCTCGGCTGTGTGTTAAGCCCAATGAAGATAAATAACTCTGCTCTCCATGAATGCACTAATATTACTTGCATTACTGTAACTGTACCCATAACTGTAAAGATCTCAACTTGTAAAATGAGTATTTTGTATTGCGTGTCATTTTATGTGTTAAAAAATAGTTTTTAAACATTCAGAAGTGGTTCTCTTGTATGAAATCATAATTTCAGTCACCAGCAATGTTGCTGTATCACAGAAAGTCCTGAGAACTGTTGACGGTGATGGGCAGATTTATTCTCTGAGAAGTACCTAACACCAGCACCATGCTGACTGGCCTCATTTTAGTGATCTCTAGCTCATGAAGGTCCTACATACACAGCACCTACTGAATACTGGAGGCAAACCGCCCGATCCTCAGGCAGGGCGGCCCTTGCGCGGCCTGCTGTGCGGCGCTTGGCCAGACGGCCCGGTGAGCGGGGCCGGCGAGCAGGGCCTCCCCGCGCAGTTTCACGGTCCCCGAGTTAAAGAGGCTGAAGAAAGATGGGTCTCTACGGGAGGCCAGGGGAACCATCTAACCAAATTTTCTTGCTCTGCTGTTGAACTCGATATTGCCAGGGCTCCGTTGCTCCTTTCCTCTCTGCCGAAAAGAAGTGGCATTATCCTTCTAATTAGCATTATTCCTGGAGCGATAATAAAAATTGACATTTTATATAGTCCACGTCCAATGACTCTGGAAGGATGGATAGTAAACAAATAAAATTAACATCAATAATTACATCCCAATAAAATTATCTACGAATCCCACCATGGACGTAGCCCTGAGAAAGGGAAAGGGAAAGTAAACCACCCTTTGATGGCCAAAGGCAATTCAAACTCTTAAATGTTTTCTCCACTATTTCCATTTTATATCTCTGTGTTTCCTCACTCAAAAATGAGGGTTTGGGGCTAAAATCGCTCTATATTCCTCTCCAACTCTAAAACTCTGCAATTGATTGTTTTTTTCCAAAACTAAGTGGAAAAGTTAACCGAAAGACTCAATAGCATCGTATTTAAAATAATCACTATTCGCTTAACCTTTTGGAAAGTCTCATAGTGGCAGTCAAATTGTTTTTTAATCTTCACCTGAGGATATGCTTAGAGAGAGGAAGGGAGGGACAGGGAGAGAGAAAGAGAGAGACGTCGATGTAAAGGAGGAACATCAATCTGTCGCCTACTGTATGCACCCCGACCAGGGATCAAACCCGCAACCCAGATATATGCTCCAACCAGAAATCGAACCTGCAGCCTTTTTGGTGTATGGGATGACATCCCAACCAGCTTAGCCACCCAGCCAGGGCAGCAGTCAATTTTATTTTACAAAGCAGCCATTTCCATAAAAACTAAATCCTATGAAAATGAGATACCATCGTAAATAGGCCAGAAGTCACTTAGGCAAACAGAAAGGCAATGCCAATTTAGATGCCCACCGACTTAATACAAATCAAGTCCTGAAGAGCAAAAGCTTGAATGTGATATTACATGGTCATTTCCCTATGAGGTCAGAGAATTTCATAAAGAAAATATTTGCCTACTAGGGAGGAGAAAACTAATACTTTCAGTACTCTATTCCCTCGATTATACAGTAATAAACTTTTGTGAGTTGTAAATGATAATGTAACATTTTTTAAATGTGCTTCCTAAATTCCTATAATAGACAAAGTACATGTAATGCCCTAGTATCCACTTCACTGGCAACAATAACATGATGAAAACATTGTATCATGAAAATTAACATTTGACCATAGATTTTTAAAACTAAATACTGTTGTCCCTGACCTGCATGCAGTAATATTAAACGGGGGCTTTCATTTGTTTATGTAAATAGTATTTTAAGTTTCCTTTTTAGCAAATTTATCTTTAGCTCCAGGATGTGAATGAATATTCTGATGCTTTTTATAATACGTTGGGATCTTTCAGCAAAATGGGGGGCAAGGGAAAGAATAATATATAAAAAGCTGCAAAAATCTATAGAAGTTTTTTATAGGGTGCTTTCAGCAAAAGGAAGGAAAGGAGGAAGGAAAGAAAACATCTCAAATAGGCTTCGAGAAAGGAATTTACTTGTTAACATAGCTCAAAAGTTTAGGAGCGAGTCTGGGTTTGGGCACAGCTGAATCCAGCAGATGGACAATGTCATCAGGGATTGGCTCCTTTCTGTCACCTCTGCTTCCCCGTGTCTTGGCCGCATCCTCAGGCAGGCCCTTCTCTCGGGTGGAAGGTGGTTGCTGGAAGCGCCAGACTGACAAGTCCTGCGTGAACAGCAGCGAGTGCTTCCCTTTCAAAAGTGACAACCTTGCAGCTCGCAGGCCTTGACTGGGGCCTGTGCGGTCTCGGCCATCACTTTGATCAGGGGGGCGCAGCCTTATGTTCTGACTGGCCAGGCCGGAGTCAGGCGCGTATCCCTGGAGGCAGAGGTCGTGTTAGTGCCGCCAGCCCATGTGGACTAAGAGCGGGAAAGAGGCGATTTCCCAAAGGAAAATCAAGTTGCTGCAATCAGAAAGAAAGGAGGGAGGAAGGAGGGAGGGAAGGAGGGAGAGAGAAATGATTGTCCAGGAAGGAAGCAAGGGAGGGAGGGAAGGAGGGGGCCACAAATGCCTACTCTCCTTTTCTGGCTGCTCTCTTTCCACGAATACTGTTTTTCCCATATTTTCCATTTCTAAAGCTCACTGTAATCCAATCATACTCGGCTCCTCCCCATAAAGAGGCAATCCAAAGCTCATTTACTTACTACATCCGCCCCCCAGTCCAGCGCACCTAGGTGGGCTAAACTCTTTTCTGCCAGGTCAAGACGAACCAGAAATCTAAGCCCAAAAGAAATTCATCCGCTACTAACATAACCAAGTGGAGAGAGAACAGGATAATTGTAATCAAGAGTTCTGTTTGGAAGAGAAACTACCGTGTAGATCTCACCCTTCTGAACAAGAGGAGTGAAGGCTATTCTGCCTCTGAGCATTCACACCAGTGGCCCGGGCAGGAGCATTCAAAACCCTCCTTTCTCAGGAGGCAGGCGGGCTGCACTTCACTACGGGGATAATCGCCGCTTCCCCAGGGGGTGTGTTACGGTAGGCGTTGGGGAAAAGCCCAGGGAATCACTTTTCTCAAGCCCCACTCGTATCTCCCGCTATGATTCCCATCTCTTTGACTTAGCGTGCAGTAGCTTTAGCTTACAACGGAAAATTCAGCTTTTCAAAAAGCATCACTGATTTCTAGCCGGGGGGAAAACAAAAACCACTTCAACTAGCCCAAGTGTCAGAGAGACGTTAAGGCAAAGACTTGGCTACACAGGTGATGGGTGAGCGGAGAGGCCAGGCAGGGGGTGGGGAGGCCCTTCTGAGATGAGCCAAAGCAGGAAGCCGCTGCTACTCCCAGGCTGAAAGGACCCAAAGGCAAGAGGTCAGGACCCCTAAGCAGATGCTACAACATTGGCTGGTCTCTCTGGCCCGAGCCGATCCAGTGACGAGTTTTCGTTGCTAATGGAGATGCCACTAATGACAGAGAGAGAGAAGGAATACAATGTACCCCTCCTGTCTTCTTCCACTCTCCAGACAACGCACCTTGTTGGCTGAACTCAGCTGGACTTAGCTCACCCAGGAGGCTGGGAACATAGCATTGCAGGCTGGACTGGAAAAGGGCAAGAGAGAAACCTGCCAGCAAACAGGCCCAGGTCTCACCCCACACGCTCGCAGGTTTCTGGACTCAGCCACCTGGGTTGCTGACTTAGAGCAAAGCGCAGCTTTAGCAAAGCCTGATCTCCCTTCTCCACTTTCAGATACATTAATTTCTGTCTAAATGTGTCTCCTTATTATGGAATGGTATCTATTAGGCAACTGTTCAGCTACAAGTGTTTGAAACCTCAACAAATGGTTTTGTGTGCGTGTGTGTTTATTTTATATCCTCACTTGAGGATATGTTTATTGATGTGAGAGAGAAACATTGATGGGTTCCCTCCCCACACACACCCTGACCAAGGATCAAACCCACAACCTAGGTATGTGCCCAGACTGGCGTGACTCACTGGTTAGAGTGTCAGCTCACACACCGAAGAGTCTCAGGTTTGATTCCTGCCTGGTCAAGGGCAGTGCCAGGGTTGCAAGATCCATCCCCGCCTCGACCGGGGGCGTTCAGGAGACAACCAATCGATGTGTCTCTCTCACGTCGGTGTTTCTCTCTCTCTCTCTCCCCTCCCTTCCCTCCCTCCCTCCCTTCCCACTCTCTCTAAAGCTCAACAGGGGGGAAAAAAGTCAAAGAATAGTTAAGTCCAATCTTACATAAATTTTTCCAGAAAATTGAAAAAAGATAACACTTTCCAGCTCACTTTTTGAAACTGGCATAATCTTGATACCAAAACAAGACATGAATGGATGGCACATGATAGGAAAACTATAAACTAGGAACACTCGTGAACTTAGGTTTGAAAATCCTATACCGATTTTGCCAACACAAACCAGTAGTATATAAAACAACATAGCATGTTATGACCAAGTTGGGTCTTTCCCGGGAATACAGGATGGTTTCATATTTAAAAATCGGTAGGAGCAAGACAAGGATGCTCACTGTCCTGACTCCTACTCAGTCTACTCAGTGCACTAAAACAAGAAAAAGAAATAAAATACTTAGAAATTGCATCGGAAGAACCAAAGCAAACATTATTTGGATAATCACAAATAAATATGATTATACATTTGCAAACCTCCCAAAGAATCCAACAAGTTTTCTTGATACTCAATTGATAAAATTTTTGTAAACCACCACCTTCTAAAAATTATAACTTTAAAAACATATCATTCACAATAACATCAAAATCATTAAGAATATAGGATATATATGTATGTATGCGTGTATATATACACACACACACACACACACACACATATATATATATAAAGCCTTACATGAATAAAATCATCAATTCTAATAAAGACATTTTAAAAGACCAAATAAATAGAAAATTACAGTCATGCACTGCATAATGACATTCTGGTCAATAATGGACCGAATAGATGACGGTGGTCCCATAAGATTATAATGAAGCTGAAAATTTCCTACTTCCTAATGACACCGTACCTGTCCTAAAGTCTGCTCAATGCGTTAATCACGTGTTTGTGGTGATGCTGGTGTAAACAAACCCACTGTGCTGACAGTCTTATAAAAGTATATCGC